TCTGTGGAGTCCCCACGACGCAGGCCTCCCCGGTGCCAGGCGGGCGTGCGGAACACAGGGCAGGCAGCGCCGAGCAGCTGTGTGCCGCCGGAAGCCAGCTGTTCACAGTGCAGGCTCACGTGCCGGGACGGCTGCCTTTCGGCTGTTCCTGGGCCGAGGAGCTGGCCAGTCTCCCACAGTCCATTTAACGATGGCCTCTGTGGCTTCCCCCAGGGGGAAGGAGGCGTGGGAGCTTGGGGGGGCCCATGTTCTCAGGTGTCACCCCCTCCTCGAACCCCCTGGCTCCCCTCTGCTGGGCCCTCCAGCCTCAGGCCGCTGTGAGCTGGCCCCTGGGCACAGGTCTGTCGGGCAGCATGGCCCTGGCTGCTCCCCAGGCCACCCTGTGCTGCCCTGGAGGGCAGTGCTGACCCCTGGCCCTTGAGGCCCGATGGCCATGAGGATGGCCCTGAGTGGGGTGCACATGGGCACTGGCCGCAGGGAAGAGGCGAACCGGTGCCTTGGCTCAGAGTGGCCAGAGAGCAGGGGCGCCGTGCTGCTGGTGCTGACCAGTCCCAGCTTGAGTGTGCCCGTCCAGACCTGCACTGGTGGGAAGCGGTGCTGACCCCGAGTGCCCGCCGTGGGGGGGGCGGGTCTGTGGGGCGGCTGAGGGCCGAAGCCGCGTTGCCAGCTGTGGTTTTGATTTGCAGTCGGCGTGCCCGGCCGAGTGGCAGTCCACCCCCTGACCGCGGGAGAACCCGGGATGGCCTCCAAACCAGCCTCGCCCCTCGGGGGGCCGACCCAGGTGCGGGCAGTGCGAGCAGGGCCCCCCGGCTCAGGAAACCCCCTGCACACCTCGGCAGGAGGCCTCTGCAGGCCGCCAGTCTGGGATCGCTTTTCCTTCTCGTGACCGTTTTCTGTCGTCATCCATCACAGTTGTCCCCGTCTCCCCCCGCCCTCCTCCCCCGTCCCCACCCCCCACCCCACGCTGTCGCCCGTGTCGTGGGTCACCCGCACGTGTGCTCTGACTCGTCCCTTGAGAGCACTTCCCCAGTGAGATGCAGCTGCGCTTTCCACACATTGTCACGCTCTCCTGCCCACCTCCCAGGCGTGCGAGGCGCTCACTGTCTCGAGACACTGCTCGTGCTTTCTCACTGCTTCCTGCCCCTGGGTCTTGTGGAGCAGGCCCTGCCTGGGGGTGCACTCTGCCCAGCGGGGCCCGCCCAGGGACCCTCAGGACCCCGGCAGACTGCCCACGGGCCTGCTGTTTCTCACGGGCTGTTTTCGTCACTGCCTGGCGCAGGAGGAGAAGACCCGACTGCTGAGAGAGCGGCTGGACCAGATCTACTCCGTCAACGAGCGGCGCTGCTTCCGGGCGCCCGTCTACGGCGCGGACCTGCTGGGGGCCTGCTCCCTGGCCTGCAGAGGGCGGGCCCCGGGGCCCAGGGCCCCAGCGAACAGGCGCGGGGCGGCGGCCGGGCCCACACGCGTCCGTGCGTGCCCCTCAGAAGGCCAGAAGGACCTGACTCTGACGCTGACTCAGTGTCGCGAGTCCCTCCAGGATGTCATCGACAGGTGAGCCTCTGAGCTCGCCTCTCCGCCCCTCCTCCCCGACCTCGGCAACCCCTGCTCTTCCGCCCTTCCCACCGTTTGGCCTTTTCTGGAATGCGCCATGTGGGTGGCCGGGGTCGTGCAGCCTTTCAGAGGGGCTCCGTTCCCTGCGGGAGGTGCAGGTGGGGCTCCTCATCGTCTCGTGCCTCCGTAGCCCACTTCTCGTTAGCTGAGGGGCCCTCCGAGGTCTGGGCGGGCCACAGCTCACCTCTCTCCGCCTGCTGGAGGACGCCTCGCTGGCTCCAGGTCCTGGCGGCTGGGCACAGAGCCGCCCCAGACGTGTGCGCGGGTGTTTGTGCGGGCGTGCGTCTCCTGCTCCTTTGCATAAACGCCCAAGGAGCGTCCCTGCCGGACCGTGTGGTGAGAGTGTGTTTGGGTTTGCGTGAGGCAAGCCGGCCACCTTCCTGAGCAGCTGCCCGCCTGCTCCCTCCAGCGGTGAGGGAGGCTCCGGCCGCTCCCCAGCCTCCCCCCAGCCTCCCCGCGCTTGGCGCCACCCGAGCTGGCGCCCGGCCGTTTGGACAGGTGTGCACTGGCGTCTCGTCGCTCACTCTGTGCCTCCCGACGGCGTGAGGGGGAGCACCTGTGCTCTGGCTCTTCTGCGTCTGCACCTCGTTTCTGGAGAGCGGCCCGTCAAGGTCTTGGGGCCGTTTTTTAATCAGGTGGTTCTCTTGTCGGGTCTTACGGGTTCTTCGCACACGCGGGACAACCGCCCTTTACCGGATGTGCCTTGGCAAATGTTCTGCCTCCGCCTGTGGCTTCTGTTCTCATTCTCTTGACAGCAACCTTTGCAAAACAGAAGCTTTTAATCTTAATGAAGTCCAGCTCATCGATTCTCTCTTTCACGGACTGTGTCTTTGGCGTTGTATCTGAAAGGTCGCCGCCCAGCCCAGGGTCATCCAGCTTTCTCGGGTGTTACTGTCCGGTGGCTCCATCCTTGTGCGGTTTCTGTTTAGGCCTGGGACCCCCGGGAGTCAGTGTGTGGGACGGTGCAGGGTCTGCGTGAGGACCCGTGGTTTGCACGTGATGTCCAGTTCCAGCACCGCTGGCTGAGAAGACTCTTTCTCCGTCGTAGCGTCCGTCGGGCGCCTCTGCCGAGGGTCAGCGGACTGTGACCAGGCGGGTCCGTTTCCGAGCTCCCTGCTCTGTCCGCGGGCCTGCTCGTCCTCCATGAGTGCCGCTGTGTCCCGGCCCCCGTGTCCTCGTGGTCGGGGCCGTGGAGTCAGGGGACGCCGGTCCTCAAACTCCGTTCTCCTGCAGCGCGTGTGGCTGTCCCGCCCCTTTGCCTCGGAGTCGACGTTAGAAGCAGCTTGTCAGTGCCCACGCAACGGCTGCTGGGAGCCTGGCTGGGGCTGTGCTGGGCGTCTGCACCACGTTGGGAAGAGCTGGCACCAGACAGCCCTGAGTCTGCCTGTCTCTCCCCACACACGGAAGAGCTCTCTGTCTGTCCAGCCCTTGGGTCTCGCCCACCTGTGTCTGGCTGCCGGGTGGCTCTCGGCTCGCGTGCCGTCGGTAGCGAGTCACGGGGACGCAGCCTGGGCCGACTTCCAGGGCGAAGGCTTTCCGGGGGCAGGGGGCCGTTCGGGGGCCAGGAGGTGGGTGTCGGGCCAGCTCCCTCCCAGTCCCAGAACTCCCTCCGGGAGACGTGTCCTTCACAGGGAGCGGGCAGTGTGTCTGCCCGGGCGGCCCTCGCGGGCCAGGGCTGCCCCGACCTGTCCCCGTGGTTGCTGCGACAGGGAGGGGGCCAACAGGCCCGTCCCCCACAGCGACCCCGACCCTCCGAGGGGCTCCACGGGGCAGACGCCAGGGCGCCACAGGTGACGAGCCTGCTTGTTTCCCAGGGTGGCGTGCGTGATCCCGCCGGTGGTGGCCGCCCCCCCGTCGTTATGGGTGGCGCGGCCGCCCCCCCTCTACAGCCACAGAATGCGGATCTTCAGGCACCGTCTGCGGGAGCAGGCGGCGCCCTACGCCCAGCAGCTGCGGCAGGCGACGGCGCTGCGCTCGCTGCGGTTCCCCGAGCTGAGGCTGGTGCAGCGTGACTCAGGTACGGGGGGGGGGGCGCCGGGCGCGGGCCCCCGCGGCGAGCCCGTGGCGCGGGGCGGTGAGACGCTCGGTGCCGCTCCCCCGCAGGCAAGCTGGAGGCCCTCGCGATCCTGCTGCAGAAGCTGAAGTCAGAGGGGCGTCGCGTGCTGATCCTGTCCCAGATGGTGCTCATGCTGGACATCTTGGAGGTGTTCCTGAACTCCCACTACCTCACCTACGTGCGGATCGACGAGAACGCCAACAGCGAGCAGCGCCAGGTAAGGGGACGTCTGCCTCGCCCCCGGAGTCCGGCCTGACCCTCGGGCCGCGTGGACTGGCATGGCCACCGCCTCCTGCGTGGAAGGGGGAGCGGAAGGGGGAGCGCACGCCTCTGTGTCTGCGGACTCGAGTGTGCGAGTCTCAGCTCCGTCCCTCGATGCTTCTTTTTGAAAAGATTTTATTTATTTTTAGACAGAAGGGAAGGGAGGGAGAAAGAGAGAAACATCCATGGGTGGTTGCCTCTCATGTGCCCCCTACTGGGGACCCGCCCACAACCCAGGCCTGTGCCCTGACTGGGAATGGAACCGGCCGCCCTCTGGTTCCCAGGCCCGCGCTCAGTCCACTGAGCCGCGCCAGCAGGGCTGAGACTTCTTTTTCATGAGTCACTTCCCTCGAGATGGGCACCGCCGGCCCGGGGCCGCAGAGTCACCACTGCCGGCACTCACTCGCCACGCGACAGGGCTGGCCGGGCGAGACAGGAAACGCAGCCGCCTCCTTCGCAGCGGACTCTGTGCCCGGGGAAGTCTGGGCTCCTGTCCCCTGTCCGCGTAGCCGGCGCCAGGCCTCCGACTGGCTGCAGCTGGGCGCACGCTCGTGCAGCCTGCTGGAGGGCCCCCTGCCTCTGACACCACCAGCCCTCCCCCAGGCTGGCGTGCACCGTTGGTCCCTGGGGCGCGGGACACCTGGGTGGGGCGAGGGCGGGGTGAGGCCTGTGCCCAGAGCAGAGGGGAGAATGAGCTGCCCTCGGGCTCTCGGGCCCGGGGCTGGGCCAGGACCCGAGGAGACCTCAGCGCCCGGGGCGAGGCGAGCAGGGTGGCGGCACATTCCCGAGAGCGGAAGGCGAGCCACCGGTGGGCGCCGCGGGGCCCTCACCGCGCTCTGCGGCACAGCAGCTTGCGAGCCCCCGCGCCGCCTGCGCACCGAGGGGTGCGGAGGGGGCCTCCGCCCTGGGGAGTGGAGGAGCACGCTGCAGGCAGGGTTCCTGGGAGCAGGGGGGTTGTTCGCCTGGGGCCGCACAGACGGACGAGGAGACGTGCCCGTGAGCGACGCACGCAGTGGGGCCGCCCCGCTGCGGCCCGAGAGGGCGCGGCCCCCCCCCCCAGGCTCATGCCCTGCTCCCTCAGCCTTACTCCAGGGCCTTTTGCTGTAAAGTGCCCTGGCATTGCCCGGGGGGACATGAAAGAGCACAGATTCCCCCCCCAGGGGACACTGCTTTCCTGGGGGGCCCTCGGACTGAGCTGACAGAGTGCCGCCCCGGGGCCAGCGGCCTCCTCGAGCGAGGACGCGCCCGGCCGGGGCTGGAGTCGTGCGGGCTGGGGCGCGGGCGCGGGTGCGGGCGCGGTGGAGGAGAGCCGGGATCTGAGGCCCAGGCCGGGCTGCGCCTCGCGCGGGGGGTGCCCGCGAGCGCCGGCAGCCCTGACCCCGGCCGTCGCCGCAGGAGCTGATGCGGAGCTTCAACCGAGGCAGGCGGGTGTTCTGCGCCCTGCTGTCCACGCGCAGCCGCGCCCCCGGCGCGGGCCTGGTGGAGGCCGACGCGGTGGTGTTCTACGACCACGACCTGAACCCTGTGCTGGACGCCCGGGCCCAGCAGTGGTGCGACCGGATCGGGAGGCGCAAGGACGTGCACGTGTACAGGTGCGGCCGCGCGGGGCGTGCACGCGTGTGCAGAGGAGCACGCGGTGCGGTGCTGCCAGCTTCCTGCCGCCGAGGGCAGGAGCTGGAGCCGAGTCCAGGGTGGGGTGGTTCCGGGGGGAGGGCCGGACGGCAGGCCGAGGGGGCTCCGGGGACCTGCCGCGGGCTGTGTGGGAGGCGGGCCCGGCGGGCTGCGGGGCCTTCGGCCGCCTCTCGAAGGAGGGGCCGCGCGGAGCACGCGGCAGCTCTGCGTTCAGGCGCTTCGGAGGCCTCGTGGCGCCCGCCCAGGAGGCGCTGCTCCAGGCGGTCTCTGCCGCGCTGGGCTGCCCGCGCCCCGCGGCTCAGCTGTCCGTGCGGGTGTGCGGTCGGGTCGCAGGCTCGTGAGCGGCAACTCCATCGAGGAGAAGCTCCTGAAGAACGGGACCAAGGACCTGATCCGGGAGGTGGCTGCTCAGGGGAACGACTACTCCATGGCCTTCCTGACTCAGGTACCCTCGCGGGCGGGCCTGCAGGGGCTTTCCCCTGGGACACTCCCCCAGACACTCCCCCCGGGGGCACGAGCTCCCGCGCTCAGGCCGGGCGGGAGGCCGTGCGGGTGCTTCCGGCCATCACTGGGGTCTCCGTGCGCAGCGCACCATCCAGGAGCTGTTCGAGGTGTACTCCCCCATGGACGACGCCGGCTTCCCGGTGAAAGCCGAGGAGTTTGTCGTCCTCTCCCAGGAGCCGTCCGTGTCGGAGACCATCGCCCCCAAAATCGCTCGGCCCTTCATAGAGGTGGGCACTGGCGGGGTCCCGCCCCCCCCACTTGCCCTCCCTGCTGGCTCCTCCCTGTCCGCCCTCCCCCGCCCCATCCTCCTGGCGGCTGGGCCTGTGCTGAGGAGCGTTCGCCGCCTCCTCTTCCATCTCCAAACACTGGCTGCTCTGTTGCTGAGACGTGATCAAGGCGTGTGGTAAAGGCTTCCAGGATTTGTGCTGACAGATGAGTCTGCACAGACCCTCACGAGGCCGCCTGGGTGTCTCCGGCTCCCGCGGGGGCGTCCTGTGGGCCGTGTCCCTCCCCCGCAGCGTCTCTGCTCCCCGGGCCGGGCTGCTCTCCGGGGTCTGCCTGCTGTCCTGCACGGCGACTCCTGGTCTCGCCAGTCGCGCTCCTGCGGCCACTGGTCTGGGCCGTTGGCAGGGAAACGTTGCGCTCCCACCAGGGTGCCCTGGGGCGAGGCCCCCGGTCCTCGGGGAGCCGGTGTCCCCACACAGGTCCACCCGTTTCTGAGCTGGCTATGCCGCCCGCCCTGCCGGCAGCGCAGGCGTGGGGCGGGGCTCGTTTCTGCGCGGTGCTCTCCCCCGCGTGTGGTCCCGGTCAGCGAGCGTGCGCCCCGTCTGCCCGTGCCCTCGTCCTGGGTTCTGGCCGGTGCGTCTCTCCGTGTGTCCCGGACGCAAGGCCTTTCTCGGACCCACGTGAAGTCTCCCCCAGGCTACGGTGTGCCTCTCCGCACTGTCTTGCTCCGCGTGGGAGTTCTCGGCTGCACGGCGGGCATCTCGATCGCGTGGTCCACGCCCCCGTGTTCTGCTTGAGAGGCGCTCACCCTGGGTCCGCGCCACATCCCCTTTGTCTTTTTCTCGGTGTCCCTGTTTCATTCTTCAGGGTCGCCTGTGCGGCTTGTCTGGAGATGGTGTTTGTGCGTGGGGAGCAGTGCTGTAGTTTAAACTGGGCAGGTCGGCCAGATCGCCCTGGAAGGAGGCGGCCCGTGTCTTGATTGACACCCGTATTGACCCCCGTTTGGAGGGTGTGGCCACCCGACGTGAGAGTGTCCCGCACCTGCCACACCGTGAGGCGTGTGCCCCGGCTGTTGGGACGGGCGCCCGGTGGTGTGTCCTCTGGTCTGCATTTCCCGACCCGCGGGGGCGCACCTGTCGTCCCCTGTCCCAGGTTCTGTGCGCTTGGTGTCAGCTGCTTGGATGCCGTGGGTGGGCCCGTGTCTCTCGCACCGTGGCGGGCTGGTGCCCCCGTCAGGGCCCGCAGGCGGCGGTGGGCGTGGCTGTGAGAGGGGGCTCCCGCCTCGCTCTGCGGTGGACGCAGGGGCTTTGCCGTGTGTGTCAGCCCTGTGCCTGTGGCTCCTCCCCGTCCAGCACGGGGCCGAGTCTCACGTCCACTCGCGGTGCCCTCCCTGCCCGGGCCCACGTGTGAGGGGCTCCCGAGGCGCGAGCGTGTCGCCCTGGGGCCTCAGCAGACAGGGTGGGCGGCCGGCCGGCTTCCCGGGGCGTGGCTCTGCCGAAACCCCTGGGCTCCGAGGCGGAAAGCCCCCCGGAGCACCCAGCCCGCGCCCGTCGCCCCGCAGGCCCTGAAGAGCATCGAGAGCCTGGAGGGGGACGCGCAGGAGCCTGCGGGGGAGACGCCCGCCTCGCCGGGCCCCGGCAGCCCCCGGGGCCAGGAGCCCTCGCAGCTGGAGGAGCTGGCGGACTTCATGGAGCAGGTGGGCGTCCTCTCCCGTCGCTTCTCCCCACAGGCTCTTCCTCGCCAGTCCGTGTTTCAAAAACCTGTTCCTTTCGTGAACCATCCCTTAATTTACTTGGGCCAAGAGCAGCCACTTTTTTGACTGAAGTGTAGGTGGGACTTGTAAGGGACTTCTGACTCTTATTAACTTACAGCTAACTGTGTCCAAACTTACATTTTGAAACAGCTTACCCCAATTGAAAAGTATGCCTTGAACTACCTGGAACTATTCCACACTGCTATTGACCACGGAAAGGAGAGGACCAGTGAGGTGAGGCCACCTTCCTGCCAGCGGCCGGGGGCCCTTGGCCTCTGCAGCATCAGCTCTGGAGGGGTGCAGCCCACCTGGTCTTTGAGGGCAAGCCCCAGCCTCCAGCGAGGGAGCTCGCCAACAGCGAAGTCTCAGGGCAGCCTGCGTGGGCGGTGTCGAGGGTTCCAGAGCATCGTGGTGCTTGACGGGGGCTCCGTGACGGGCACAGGAGAAGTTCTGGAAAACGAGGAGGAACAGCTCAGAGGGGAGCTGTGGCGGGGACGGGAGGGTCCCTGCCCGAGTGAGACACGCGGGTCGGGCAGACGTGTGCCCGGTGGGGATGGTGCTGAGGGCCGCGTCCGGGCCTGTGTCCCCCGGCAGGACGCCGTGCTGACCGCAGTGAGCGCCTGGGAGGCCCAGAACCTGCGGGCACTGCGGGAGCAGGAGGCCAGGGCGCTCCGGGAGCTGGAGCAGGAGCAGCTGCTCACCTACACCCGGGAGGATGCCTACAACGCGGTGCGCACCCGCCCCGGGGCCCCACGCGGCGGCACCGGCTCGTGCCCGCAGGGAGCCGCTGCCCGGTGTTCCGGTTCCGCGCGGCCTTCCCCTGGTGGGGCGGGGCGGGGCGGGAGGCCCCCGGCCCTCAGCTCGCAGAGCGGCGAGGGCCACCCGCGGAGTGACACAGGCCGGCCGTCGACTGAGAGCTCTCCCCTGTCTCCCGCAGGAGTATGTTTACGAGGGTGCCGACGGGCAGACGGAAGTCATGCCGGTGAGTGCCGCTCCTTGTGGTCCCCGTCCCCTGCGGCGCCGGCCGCCTTCCCCGAGGCGCAGGGCTCACGCTCTCCCGTGTCCGTGCAGCTCTGGACCCCGCCCACGCCGCCCCAGGATGACAACGACATCTACATCGACTCGGTCATGTGTCTCATGTACGAGACCACGCCCATCCCCGAGGCCAAGCTGCCCCCCGTGTACGTGAGGAAGGAGCGCCGGCGGCACAGGACGGACCCCTCAGGTGGGCGCTGCCGCCCACACCCCGGTGCCTGGGCGTCGTGTGTTCAGGGGCCGGCGGGACCGGTCTCCGCGGTGCAAGCAGGGCGGCTTGTGGTGGCCCGCCGGGGTGTCCAGGGCCTGGGCGCCCTGAGGCGGGCGGGGTGCTCTGGGGACCGCCGCCGACTGAGCCGGCCTCTCGGTGCAGCCGCAGGCAGGAAGAAGAAGCAGCGCCACGGGGAGGCCGTGGTGCCCCCGCGGTCCCTGTTCGACCGCGCAACGCCGGGGCTGCTGAGGATGCGCCGGGAGGGGAAGGAGCAGAAGAAGAACCTGCTGCTGAAGCAGCAGGCACCCTTCGCCAAGCCGCTGCCCACCTTCGCCAAGCCGGCCGCCGAGTCGGGGCCCGACAACCCCGAGTGGCTCATCAGCGAGGACTGGGCGCTGCTGCAGGTGGGCCTGCTCCCCAGGGCGCCCCCGCCCACGTGCGCCCCCGCCCTCCTCGTCCCCCTGGCCCCGGGGGGAGCCTGGTGCTGCTGCTCGGCGTGCCGACCCCGGCCCGACCTTGGTCCTCCAGGCCGTGAAGCAGCTGCTGGAGCTGCCCCTGAACCTGACGGTCGTGTCCCCGGCCCACACGCCCAACTGGGACCTGGTCAGCGACGTTGTCAACTCCTGCAGCCGCATCTACCGCTCCTCCAAGCAGTGCCGCAGCCGCTACGAGAGCGTGCTCATCCCCCGGGAGGAGGGGAAGGTGAGTGCACGCCCAGGGCCCTCCCCTCGCAGGGCCGCCGGAGGCGCGGCGGGGCGAGGCCTGTCCTGGCCTGGCCTGGCCTGGCGTGGGACCCGAGGCGCGGCTGCCACGGCCCCTTCGGGTGCAGGCTGCCCTTCCCAC